GACAATGTGTTTACGGCCCTGCAGGGTACCTGAGCATAAGAGACTAAAAATGCTAGAAGTGGGAAAAATAGAAAAGTCACACAGCACTTGGTGTAGCCCCAAGGCTCCTGTGGTGAAGAAAGATGGTTGTATACGGTTCTGTGTTGATTATCGCAAGGTGAATGAAGTGTCACAGTTTGATGCTTATCCCATGCCCCAGGTCAACGAGCTCCTGGACCAGTTATGCACTGCTCGCTTTTTCATGGTTCTCGATTTAACCAAGGGCTACTGGCAGATTCCCTTGTCTGGGTGCGGAGTCCAAGGAAAATATGGCCTTTTCCAGTACATACAGTTTGTACCAATTTGTCACACTTCCGTTCGACTTGTTCAGAGCCCCTGCCACATTCCAGCGCCTGATGGACCGGGTGCTGCAGCTGCAGCTGCTACCGCCTTTTTGGATGACATCATCACAAGCCCATGAAATACTGGGAACAGATAGTCTGGTCAGATAAGACCAAAATTGAACTCTCTGGATGCCATAATACACACCATATTTAGAGGTCAAAATACCATACCAATAGTGAAGTTTGGAGGAAAGGACAAATATTCTTCATGAAGATCTGCTGCCATCTACTGGGACGATGAAGATGAGATGAGGATCAATGTTTGAGCAAGACAGTGATACCAAACACAAAGCCAAGAACAACCTCAATTAGTTTCAGAGGAAGAAATAAAGCTGCTAGAATGGCCAAGCCAACCACCTGACCTGCATCTAATTAAAAATCTATGGAAAAACATAAGAGCCCATGAAACCTTCAGGATTTGAAGACTGTGTGGAGGAATGAACCAAAATCACACCTAAGAAATGCATTCAACTAGTTTCTCCATACAACAGGTGTCTTGAAGCTGTCATCACCAACACAGGCTTTTGTATGAAGTATTAAATACATGTCAGTAAGCATGTTAAGTACTTTTCCCCTGTGTCATTATTACAGATAACTTAATTTATCCATCGTCTTTGTTGTGTGACACTTTGGTAATGAGACGCCTTTTTATAGGCCATTTCCCGTATTATTAATGTAATTTATGGACATCT